CATGTAAAGAAACAAGTTCCTTAATGAGATGGTTCGATGATGTATTTTAGCTTCCATTTATCTGTATACCAAGTGAAGGTGATTAGATTACCCTTAGAAAGTTTAAGAATTGCTGATTTAGAGCCGGGCGCGGTGACTCACGCCTGTAATCCCAGCACTTTGGGAGGCTGAGGCGGGTGGATCACAAGGTCAAGAGATCAAGACCATCCTGGTCAACATGATGAAACTCCATCTCTACTAAAAATACAAAAATTAGCTGGGCATGGTGGCACCTGCCTGTAATCCCAGCTACTCGGGAGGTTGAAGCAGGAGAATTGCCTGAACCCAGGAAAAGCGGAGGTTGCGGTGAGCTGAGATCGCACTCCAGCCTGGGTAACAAGAGCGAAACTCCGTCTCAAAAAAAAAAAAAAAATGCTGATTTAGAATGACAATCTAGGGCTACTCAGAAGTTTCAGAGGCCTCTGTAAAAGAAGCAGTAATCCAACATTCCAATTTCCCACTAATTCACCTTTAGACTAAAAACTACATTTGTTTGGTCTTTATTTTCATAAGCATTTTCTCCCTAAACGCTATTAAGCCCTGGCGAGGTGACTCATGCCTGTAATCCCAGCACTTTGGGAGGCCAAGGCTGGAGGATAACTTGAGGTTGGGAGTTGGAGACCAGTCTGACCAAGATGGACAAACCCCGTCTCTACTAAAAATACAAAATTAGCTGGGCATGGTGTCACATGCCTGTAATCCCAGCCACTTCAGAGGCTGAGGCAGGAGAATCAATTGAACCCAGGAGGTGGAGGTTGAGCCAAGATCGCATCATTGTGCTCCAACCTGAGCAACGATAGCGAAATTGTCTCAAAAAAACAAAAAACAAAAAACTCCCAACTATTTTAAAAAGTTATACTTACAATTTAATTGGAATGAGCTGGAGAGGTTAGTTTTTAATGAAATTTTAAAGAAATATACTGGATTTTGGCCGGGCATGGTGGCTCAAGCCTGTAATCCCAGCACTTTGGGAGGCCGAGGCGGGTGGATCACGAGGTCAAGAGATCGAGACCATCCTGGTCAACATGGTGAAACCCCGTCTCTACTAAAAATACAAAAAATTAGCTGGGCATGGTGGCGTGTGCCTGTAATCCCAGCTACTCAGGAGGCTGAGGCAGGAGAATTGCCTGAACCCAGGAGGCGGAGGTTGCGGTGAGCCGAGATCGCGCCACTGCACTCCAGCCTGGGTAACAAGAGCGAAACTCCGTCTCAAAAAAAAAAAAAAAAAAAAAAAAAGAAATATACTGGATTTTGTTTGAACAGATTGAAATAATAATTGTCTTTCCAAATGTTTAGCAGCACCAGCAGTCCTTGACCTTTTTTCCTACATCTCTGGATAGAGAAACATTTTTAAAAATGTGTCAATTCACAGAATACGAAAGACAGCCAACTAAAAGAAAGAGTTTCATGGTGAAATCTAATCATGGAAGGATTAAAGTATTGAAGTAAGGACTGAAAACCTGCTGAGTGTGCTGGTGCATACCTTTAGTCTCTGCTACTTGAGAGGCTGAGACCAGAGGATCACTTGAGCCTGGGAGTTTGAATCCAGCCTGGGCAACATAGTGAGACCCTATCTCTATTTTTTTTTTTTTTTAAATGAAGTCCTCTCTTCCTCGGCGCTGCCTGTGGAGGTGGCAGCCGTCTCCTCCTTGGCATCAGCCCAAGATGCTCAAAAAGAGAACTAAGAAGTTCATCCAGCCCCAGTCAGACCGCTGTGTCAAAATTAAGCATAACTGGAGGAAACCCAGAGGTACTGACAACAGGGTTCGTAGAAGGCCCAAGGGCCAGATCTTGATGCCCAGCATTGGTTATGGGAGCAACCAAATCAAAGCACATGCTGCCCAGTGGCTTCCCGAAGTTCCTGGTCCACAACATGAAGAAGCTGGAAGTGCTACTGTGCGCAACTAATCTACTGTGCTGAGATCGCTCGCACTGTTTCCTCCAAGAACTGCAAAGCCATCGTGGAAAGAGCTGCCCAGCTGGCCATCAGAGTCACCAACCCCAATGCCAGGCTGTGCAGCGAAGAAAATGAGTACCCAGCTCATGTGCATTTTGTGTTTAAATGAAACTGTAAAAACTGCAAACAAAACATAACAGCAACAAAAATGAAGTCCTGTTTTGGGGATATTTTTGCTTTTGAAACAGCGAATGGTCAATCATAAACAGTAAATCATAAGCATAAAAATGCTTAAACCAAAGGTAATTTGTTATTTTTCTTAAAAGAAGTTTATTTTATTTTTTTTATGGGGTTTCGCCCTGTTGCCCAGGCTAGTTTCAAATTCCTGGGCTGGAGTGACCTGCCTGCCTTGGCCTCCCGAAGTGCTAGGATTACTAGCTTGAGCCACCAAGTCTGGCCACCAGAGGTAATTTGAACCATTCAAAGCTACTTTGGAAATTTCCTATTCTGTTGTCTTTTAAAATACAAAGGAAGGAATTTTTGTGACTAGTTTGAAAGCTAGTTTGGTACCAGAAATACGAAGTCACTTCAATTTTGGATATTTATGATCATGAAATAGAATAACATTACTGACAATCTTACAGAAAGAGGACAAGGAAAAATATCTGTAGAGCTTTTCTTTTTTTTTTTCTTTTTTTCTTTTTTTTATTTTGAGAAGAAGTTTCACTCTTGTTACCCAGGCTGGAGTGCAATGGCGTGATCTCGGCTCACCGCAATCTCTGCCTCCTGGGTTCAGGCAGTTCTCCTGCCTCAGCCTCCTGAGTAGCTGGGATTACAGGCATATGCCACCATGCCCAGCTAATTTTTTGTATTTTTAGTGGAGACGGGGTTTCACCATATTGACCAGGATGGTCTCGATCTCTTGACCTAGTGATCCACCCGCCTTGGCCTCCCAAAATGCTGGGATTACAGGCGTGAGCCACCGCGCCCAGCTGTGGAGCTTTTCAAAGTGATTGCATACCTTTAAAATTTTTTTATTATCTAATTAGATAAAACTAAATACTGCTTTGAGTCAATTTTTTATGAAACAATTTCCATTTACAATGAATATCTTTGTATAATAATTGAATCTCAAGCTTCTGAGGCAGCTCAGCCGACGGAGCCCCTGCCTCCCCAGGAGCTCCCGCAGCCTCCTCTCTGGTCTGTGTGGTCCACAGGAACGATCTCCATGTGCTCCACTGAAGCAGTACCACCTACACCTAGCTTTCCAGTTGCCTTATAAAAAGCCCCTCTTCCACAGAGAGCAATCACTTCTACTCCGATTTTGTTTTGAAACAACCCTCTTGTCTTAACTCGGCTTCATGTCTCTCAAAGCTTGACTGCAGAAACACCGCCCCGGGTTCCACCAATCAACCTCTGTTCTTTGCTCCCTCCCCCTCCCTGCCCATAAGGATAACAGCTTACCCTTTTGCAGTCCTTAAGAGACACCAGGGCTGGGCGAGGTGGCTCAGGCCTGTAATCCCAGCACTTTGGGAGCTGAGGCAGGTGGATCATGAGGTCAAGAGATCAAGATCATCCTGGCCTACGTGGTGAAACTCCATCTGTACTGAAAATACACAAATTAGCTGGGTGTGGTGCATGTGCTTGTAGTCCCAGCTACTAGGGAGGCTGAGGCAGGAGAATCACTTGAACCTGGGAGGCGGAGGTTGTAGTGAGCCGAAATCGCACCACTATACTCCAGCCTGGGCGACAGAGTGAGACTCCATCTCAAAAAAAAAACACAAAAAACCAACGTAGCACAACAATGTCAATGTAATTCTTAAAAAAAAATGCCACTTTTAAGTGTACATTTAAAAATGGTGAAGATGGTAAATTTTATGTTGTGTGTATTTTACCACAGTTAGGGAAAAAAGCAGATACGGTTTTATACAAAGCAGTTCTGGCATATGTGTCTTTTAGTGGCACAGACAGACTTTCGTCATGTGTCTAAGTCACCCTGGGGGGAAATGATCTACTTTGGTTTGCTTGATTTGACCGTCTATGTTGATCCTGGGAAAATCATTTCCCTAGATAGTCCAGTTGCCATTTAAAGAATGGTCAGGAAGGTCCATCACCTTTTATATATGTCTGGTTTATAGAAAGCATTCACGCTCACAAAATAGCCCTGCAAATATCCAGTTGTCCAGTTACACAGGAGAGCCAAGTTCCCCCAAAGTGAAGCCTTTGGAATAACCCTAAGTTCTTCCTAATCATGGAAGTTTTGTCTCCTTCCAGAGCCTAAGAGATCTACCTCTGGCCGAGTGTGGCAGCTCACACCTGTAACCCTAGCACTTTGGCAGGCCGAGGCTGGTGGATCACCTGAGGTCAGGAGTTCAAGACCTGCCTGACCAACATGGTGAAACCTGATCTCTACTAAAATACAAAAATTAGCCATGCGTTGTGGTGGGTGCCTATAATCCCAGCATTTTGGGAGGCTGAGGCAGGAGAATCACTTGAACCCCGAAGGCGGAGGTTGCAGTGAGCCGAGATGGTGCCATTGCAGTCCACCCTGGGCAACAAGAGTGAAACTCCATCTCAAAAAAAGAAAAAAGAGATTAACCTTCATCTTTAGCCCTACTGCCCACGCCAAGTGCAGTAACACCACCATGGCTCACTGCAGCCTCAAACTCCGGGGCTCGAGATCCTCCCACCTCAGCCTCCTGAGTAGCTGGAACTATAAACACATGCCACCACGCCTGGCTACTTTTCTTATTTTTTGTAGAAACTGGGTCTCCCTATGTTGTCAAAGCTGATCTCGAACTCATGGACTCAAGCAATCTGCCTGCCTTGGCCTCACAAAATGCTGGGATTACAGGCATGAGCCACCACACCCAACCTTGGGCTATTTTTATTATTGTAGTTTTCAGCTTCATTGAGATATAACTGACAAATATATTGTATAATTTAAAGTGTACAACATGATGATTTGATATACACATACACTGTGAAATGATTAGCATGATCAAGTTAGTTAGCACATCCATTAACGCCCTTCATTCCTTTTTTTTTTTTCCCACTCTCCCAGGCTTGGGGCATTAGCCCTCTTGATTCTTCATCAAGGGAGAGAGAGCCTGCTCAGCCAAGCACCGACACTTCTGTTCTTCCTCCTGCGCTGGTACTTAAAAACCTACCCCTGCTCTCGGAAACCAAGACGCAACAGGACTTTCTTGTCTGCAGACCTCGCTTCTGCTTCGTTTTTGGAGGCCAAGGTATTTTTATTCAGCCACGGAACAAGTTTGCAAGAACGGTTCCCATGGTCAGGACCTGTAACATTTACAACCACATATTCAAACAAACCATACAGGGACATTCCTCAATTGTTCCGTGATGAGTTAGAGAGAAAGAAGAGCTGAAGCGCTTCTTAAAGGAGCTTTCTTTCTTGTGGTTTATTTTATATAATATGAATAGTTGGGCATAAAGTTAACTGCGCTAAAGCAATTCCTTTTCTCATTATTTATATACATAAACAGACTCTACTGGAGGCTTTTGGTGAAGAGGGAGTTAAAATTACAGCCCTGTGGCATTTCCATATAGCAGCAAAACGTAGCTGTAATTCCTACCTACCACTGCAGTCTCTCCTTCTAAACTGCAGGCCTCTCTCTTGTTTTCTCAGCCATTTCCCTACATCCTAACCACCAAGGACACAGGAAAATACTTGCTCCTAGAATCTGCCCTCCTTTTTTGTAGTTTTAAACACTATCTAATGTAGCTGGTGAGTGCCATCAGCTTCTGTCTTAAATGTGATAAAATCACAAAATGTTTTCTGACCTTCCAGACCTGCAGCCTCAGGCTGAAGGTTTAAGTAAGCTGATCTCCCTACTTTTATAGTTCTGTTAATTTTGAAATGCTATGTACTAAGCTCAGTATGAATCATAGTTGTCTGTCAAAAACAAAGCTAGTTGTCTATTACATATTATGCAGTTTGTTTTCTTTTTTTTTCTTTTCTTTTTTTTTTTTTTTTTTTGAGACGGAGTTTCGCTCTTGTTACCCAGGCTGGAGTGCAATGGCGCAATCTCGGCTCACCGCAACCTCCGCCTCCTGGGTTCAGGCAATTCTCCTGCCTCAGCCTCCTGAGTAGCTGGGATTACAGGCACGCACCACCATGCCCAGCTAATTTTTTGTATTTTTTTTAGTAGAGACGGGGTTTCACCATGTTGACCAGGATGGTCTCGATCTCTTGACCTCGTGATCCACCCGCCTGGGCCTCCCAAAGTACTGGGATTATATGCGTGAGCCACCGTGCCCGGCCAGTTTTCTTTTTTAATTGTAGTTGGCAGCTAATTTGAGGATCATTGCAGGGTACCTATTTTCTTCCTTCACTATGTCTTGGGCTTTTTTCTTTTATTGGTGAGAAAAAAGAAAAGGAAATAAAGGCCAGGTGCGGTGCCTCATGCCTGTAATTCCAGCACTTTGGGAGGCCAAGGCGGGCGGATTGCCTGAGCTCAGGAGTTCAACATCAGCCAGGGCAACACAGTGAAACTCCATCTCTACTAAAATACGAAAAACTAGCCAGGTGTGACAGCTGCAGTCCCAGCTACTTGGGAGGCTGAGGCAGGAGAATTGCTTAAACCTGGGAGGCGGAGGTTGCAGTGAGCCTAGATCACACCACTGCACTACAGCCTGGGTGACAGAGCGAGATTCCATCTCCAGAGAAAGAAAACGAAAAAGTCTAACCAATCTGAGTCACATCATTGATTAGGATAGCAGATGAAGCACCTAGCCGGAAAGATGCGGCAATCAATTTCATGAGAATTTCTCGTGGGAGATGAGGAACACTGCTGGGCAAGTGTTGGATTTTGGTGGAGGAGGAGCAGGAAACTTGGGAGACTGGGACTAGAAAGCAATATCAGGTAAGAGATGTTCCCCTGCCTGTCTAGAGGTGTGGCCAGGTTCCGAGGTGAGGGAAGGAGCCTGGATGAAGTCTATGCTTACAAACCCTGGATAAGCAATTGTTTCTCTACCTGTCTCAAACTAGTTTCACACTGAGGCTGCTTCTCTATATCTCAGTTTGCATAGCTGCTATGTTAACATATTAACTTTTTTTTTTCTTTTTTGAGACACAGTTTCGCTCTTGTTCCCCAGGCTGGAGTGCAATGGCAAGATCTGGCCTTACTGCAGCCTCCGCCTCCTGGGTTCAAGAGATTCTCCTGGCTCAGCCTCTGGAGTAGCTAGGACTACAGGTGCTGCCACCACACCCCGCTAATTTTTGTATTTTTAGTAGAGGCGGAGTTTCACCATGTTGGCCAGGCCAACTCCTGACCTCAAGTGATCCACCCACCCTGGCCTCCCAAAGTGCTGGGATTACAGGCATGAGCCACTGCGCCCAGCCTCATTCTTGTCTTTAGAGTCCGGACCTTCAGACTTTGATGTACCTTTGATCAGGTGCATCCTTGCATATTCTTTTAATAAATCCCTTTTTTAGTTTCCAACCACAGCAGGTTTCTGTTGCTTACAGCCAATGATACACTATAATGCTTATCTGTTCATCTAGACGGAGCACTTTGAGGGCAGGTACTCTATCATTTTGCCTTGGTGTTCTTTGACCCCTCAGCCCTGCTGCTTTCCTTTCCAGGCCACAGAGGCAGCACCCAACTGTGCAGAAGCACTGAGAATACAACACAAGTAGGTGACAAGAACCTTGCCCTAGAGAATCTACCGTCTAGATAAGGTAGCAAGATTTGTGTTTACTCAATGACTGTGGCTAATATGAAGCAGAATGTGATTCAGTATCGAAATTGGAGGCTCACTAATAAGGTCACTGTGGGGTCCAGAAGTAGAAAGGTCAGAGTGGGTTCCCTAGGGCATTCTCTAGTGGAGTTTCTTGGAGAAGCTGTGAGGACCTGGGTGAGCAGAGGCAGAACATCTGCAGGGAGTAGCAAGGCTGCAGTCAGACTCCCTGTACCACACTTTCAAAAAGTCAACTTTTTAAAGTTAATGTGGACTTGCGATGAGTTGGCTCACTGCAGCCTCAGCCTCTGGGTTCAAGCAATCCTCCTGCCTAAGCCTCCCAAGTAGTTGGGTTTACAAGTAGGCACCACCATGCCTAGCTAATTTTTGTGTTTTTAGTACAGGTGAGGTTTCACCATCTTGGTTAGGCTGCTCTTGGACTCTTGCCCTCAAGTGATTCACCCGCCTCAGCCTCCCAAAGTGCTGGGATTACAGGCGTGAACCACCATATCCGGTCCTCAGCGATCCTTTTATTTTTGCATTGTATATGGCACCTGCTTATGAAAGCAGCAAAAACAAAACCCAAAATTCTAGGGTGAAAAAATATCAACACAGGAGAGTTACAAAGAATTATATTATGTTTCACATATGCAGTTAAAAACTTTCTCCAAATATAAGAAAAGATTTTGGAACCCTGGTTCATAAACTTTGAAAACCTTTGGTCATTTTAAGTAAACCAAAGAAGGAAAAACCAGATCGCCTCCAAAGGTAAACTTTTTACAACCACTGATCTTAACTGCTATAACAAAAGAAAATATCTAAAATGGGTAACAAGAATAATATTGTTTTGATGAAGCACCAGTGAAATATCACAAATAAGTTACCTAATTGTGCAAGAAACAAGTAAATTAATGCTACAAGAGGGCTTTAGGAGGAACCTTAATTACCAGTCCATAGTCTATACTCTGTTTTATTAATTTATTAATTTTACTAATAACATTTTATTTTATGTATATATATATATATATATATATATTTATTTATTTATTTATTTATTTTTTTTTTTTTTGAGACAGAGTTTCGCTCTTGTTACCCAGGCTGGAGTGCAATGGCGCGATCTCGGCTCACCGCAACCTCCGCCTCCTGGGTTCAGGCAATTCTCCTGCCTCAGCCTCCTGAGTAGCTGGGATTACAAGCACGTGCCACCATGCCCAGCTAATTTTTTGTATTTTTAGTAGAGACGGGGTTTCACCATGTTGATCAGGATGGTCTCGATCTCTCGACCTCGTGATCCACCCGCCTCGGCCTCCCAAAGTGCTGGGATTACAAGCTTGAGCCACCGCGCCCGGCCTTATGTATATATTTTTGAGACAGAGTCTCACTCTGTCACCCGGGCTGGAGTTCAGTAGCACAATCTCAGCTCACTGCAGCTTCTTCCATCTCCTGGCTTCAAGTGATTCTCCTGCCTCAGCCTCCCAAGTAGCTGGGATTGCAAGGGTACACCATCACACCTGGCTAGTTTTTGTATATTTAGTAGAGATGGGATTTCGCCATGTTGACCATGCTGGTCTTGAAACCCAGACCTCAGCTGATCCACTGGCCTCAGACCTCAGCTGATCCACTGGCCTCAGACCTCAGCTGATCCACTGGCCTCAGACCTCAGCTGATCCACTGGCCTCAGCCTCCAAAAGTGTTGGGATTACAGGCGCGGGCCACTGTGCCCGACCCACAATCTGTACTTTAAAACTTCACATCCTGGCTAACATGGTGAAAAAAAGAAACCCAAAAAACTTGATATCGTGTGAGTATAATGGTTATACCAAAGTAATGATATTGTTAAGAAACAAATGGCCAGGCACGGTGGCTCATGCCTGTAATCCCAGCCGTGTGGGAGGCTGAGGCAGCCAGATCACGATGTCAGGAGTTTGAGACCAGCCTGACCAACATGGTGAAACCCTGTCTCTACTGAAAATACAAAAATTAGCCAGGCGTGGCGGTAGGCACCTGTAATCTCAGCTACTCGGGAGGCTGAGGCAGGAGACTCGCTTGAACCCAGGAAGTAGAGGATGCAGTAAGCTGAGATCATGCCACTGCATTCAAGCCTGGGTGACAGAGCAAGACTCCGTGTTGAAAAAAAGAAACAACAAATGGCGGAGGTCAACACCCATTTAAAGTCATGCTTATTTCCCGGGCAAAAACCTACAATTTAGGAATAGTTAGTTCACGCCTAAAATACATCAGCTGAGCTCATTGGTCATATAAACTTTGTTTGTTTATTTGAGACAGAATCTCTCTCTGTCACCAAGGCTGGAAAGCAGTGGCGTGATCTCGGCTCATTGCAGCCTCCACCTCCCAGGTTCAAGTGATTTTTCTGCCTCAGCCTTCTGAGTAGCTGGGATTATAGGCACCCACCACCATACCCGGCTCATTATTGTATTTTAATTTTTTTTTTTTTTTTTTTTTGAGACGGAGTTTCGCTCTTGTTACCCAGGCTGGAGTGCAATGACGCGATCTCGGCTCACTGCAACCTCCGCCTCCTGGG